ACTATATATATATATATATATATATATGCATACATACATACATACATACATATATATATATATATATATGTATTATATAATATAATATATATATATATTTATATATACATATATACGTATATATATATATATATATAAATATATATAGTATGACTAGACTGAGCCATCTGAAGCTGCATCTATGGGAATCAAATCCAACAACTCAAATCGAACAACTCATATACATCCAAGTACTTGTCCGAAATCGAGATATGTATGGCACAAACGTATATAAAACTTACTATACTTACAGTCATACATGAAGAATCCTCAACACTTTGTAGTCACAATCGGACTTATTATGCACATACACGCACATTCAGTATACGAGTTTGTAGCACAGTTCCAGTAAATACAATCTGAGATCCTCGTCCCCAGGCTTTACGTACACACCTCTAACGAACTGGCTTGTGATTGGGAGGGGCGTGTCGAGCTGAACTTGGCTATTTTCAACGTACATGTACAGAGTGGTGCAACACTCGGTACCCTGCAATAGTTAGATGATTGGTTTATACGACAATGTTCAAGTGTATGCGTTTTAGTATGTAGAACATTTACAGATACGCTGGTGTGTATGTCGCTGCTGTAGTAGATTGACTGGGGCAGACCGTCGTATTCGGTGTATGGCACTGGGTTTAAGTATCAATCCGTGGGAACTATGGTGTCAAGTTTTGTGAACCCGACTTGTCGTAACGAGAGGCAACTATAATTGTTATTACATAGATTTCGAATGTTATATGATATTAACCACCTGGTAAAGCGTATTGATACACATTTCAGGGACATTCGTCCAGCCAATGTGGTACTATCACAACAGATATGTCGAAAGTACAGCCACCGACGTGCACATTTGATAGCTTTTACAAGACACCTCGATGTATTTATGCAAGAATGTTGCCATAGATACATGTTTCTAAAAAGTGTTATGTACTATACCTGCGACAGGTTGTCCCGAATCCTATTGAGATAGTGGTGATCATATTTATGGATGGTGAGCTGTTGAATCTAGGCTTTATCAACAGGTGCAAATCCTCGACAGCGAGGTGTCCAGTATAAATATTAAAAAAATCTTATCTGATATGACTAAATAAATATCTGCAGAACGACATAGGTTGTTGAGAGTGCAACTGTTTAGGAAGTTGTGGCGCCTACCTCAATTATAGCCTACTCTCACTTGTGGCTATAGATAAATAACATAATAGAATAAAGCAAACATAGCCTCCTAAATTGAACAATAAAGCTAATAAATTATTTTGGCTCACGTGAATACCATCTTGTCAACATCAGCCGCCAAAATATCTGTGGCATTTCCTGATGAGTCTATGTATGACTCCTTTTTATCTCTCGCTAGCCACAGCCATCAGATATATAAATAGCCATCAGATATATAAATAGCCATCAGATATATAAATAGCCATCAAGACGTTCAATATGTATATCAGATGCCTGAGGTTGTAAAATGTAACACTCTGTTCTTACATATATGTTAAATATATAGATTAAATCAGTTTCAATAATAAATACATGATGTTAACTAGAGATAAAGTTGAACAGTACGCATGCACATATAGTGGTAAATAGTGTCGCCGAAATTGACTCCCAGGAACTATTGTAAACTGCAACGCCACCTACAAGAGGCTACAGGCTACAAACCTACGCGAGAGACAAATATAGATCTGTTATACATATAGATTGCACCATACTAACCACAATGAGCCAGTCGAAGAGACCCACACAAATCATTGGCTACACTAAAAGCTCGTTCACAGCAGAAATGAGCAATGGGTGCTCGGTAACCCATGATGTGTATACTAGATTGTCGGACAAGGACGCTGGAGTTGTAGTGATCATCCAGGAATTGGTAATGGTGTCAGTTTTGTATTTGATATTTGCGAAGATTTTTCCTTTTGCATTGTATCTGTTACTCGGATACTCATGAGGTGTATACTAGATTGTCCGACAAGACCACTGGAGTTGTAGTGGCCATCCAGAAATTAAATGTCGCCCCAATTACTTACCTAAACATATTTAAAACAATATTTTACTATTATGTGTGTATGTATATATATATACATATATATATATATATATATTATTGTGTACATGTATGTACTACT